ATTTAAACGAAAACATAAACAAAGCGATCGCACATCACATGAAAACAATATGGCCGAAAACATTGGAATGAATGAACCCATCGTAGTCAATTGAGTGTTTATTATAAAAAAATTATAGCTATAACATTAAGGCAACCCAGTGTTTAATTATAAAAAAACAAAACGTTAATTTACATAAGTCAAATGGAATTCCGTCATTGTCTTATTATTATTTTCCAATAAGAAACATTCGTTGATAACAATTTGAAACTTTTGATAACTCAAAACGTCAAATTGCCGCTACTCAAAAGTTATTCCTTTTAACTTTTAAAATAATAAAGTCAACTCCTCGTTTAAAGTTTCTATAAACCGACAACGCGTAAAAATGTTAAGATTTAATTAAAATACCTGAAACATATTTTTTTAGTATGCATAATTATAAAAAGACATTCGCATTATATCGAACGTGTTCAGAAGTTTTAACAAAAAATTCAATAGATGGCGCAGATTCATAAATTTCAAAGGCCGGCAGCAATGACTTTTTTGCGTTTATGAATGGTTATTCTCTGCTGTGACCATAGTCACGTGACCTACACGCATGCGCGTTGCATACTTTTTGTGACGTCACAACCAACAACCAAGATTTAAGGAATAGTAGCGCATGCGTGGTGCGTGCGGGGCGCATTCATTGCTTTACAAAGGCGTGCGGTCCGTGTATAGTATATGTGAATGTATATTTATGTTAGCCGTTTTTTTACAAACTTTTATTTTATTATTGAATCTTAATAAACGCGTTTGTACATTTTATGTCAAGCAAAGCCTTTTTGCCTATATGGACTGCACGCCACTGGCCGTACATGTTGAGATTCACGTGTCGCGCGCCAAATGTTGCCTAGTGGATACGAGGCTTTAAACTTTCCTAATACATACTTAATTAATTATTATGTTTCCGCCTTCCTCACGTCACTGTTTGTCACCATGTTGAATGCTCAAGCTTAATGAATATGAGCCTCTAGCATGGCTTGAAACTAGTCGAGTTCCTCGTCAAACAGTTACGGGAGTAAGCTGGAAATTTTATAATTATCTCAGACCTTTTAGTATTTACTTCAAGAACAAAGCTTTGATTAGTTCAGCAACGCATTTGTCTCCTCTTGTGTGAGTGTCCTACAGATATATTAAAGAAAGAATATTTCTGTGGAGTGTCCTGATTGCTTACCATCTTATTATTTTACGCCCGCCGATTAAAAAGAACTTGTATGTACGTATGTATGTTGATTTGTAATTAATTTTCTTGTCGGAGAACGGAGTGAGATTTTCAAAATTTTCTCGTAATTTATTATTAAGAAAAACTACAATATATTTATAAAAAAAGTATATTTTCAAATAAAGAAATATCAAAACACAGAATATAATAATGGCAGTTGATCTGAAAATAATTACAAAAAAACTTAATTAAAGTCAAATGGTATGACTGTTATACAAAAAACCAGCTAAATAAAATGTCTAAAGACTAAAAAAAAAATACTAAAAAACTATAATCTTAAATTAGCTAAAATATACAGGCCATTTTTATACACAGTGTAAAATCACTCGTTTTTTTACTAAAAACTAAACTAAAATAATAAAAAATACTTTTACTGAACATTTTTTTTAGTAAAAATTTGTTCGTAAAATATAATTAAGAAAGACTTGGTAGTGAGATAAATCTTACATGCTATGAGTAATTACAATTATATTGCTTAAAAATTTAAAATTATTATAATCATTATACTTATAATGTGATTATAGGCGCAAGCATTGTTTTAATTCTATATAAAATCTGTGTGAAAGTTGCAAGATTATCTTTTCTAAAAAAGTATTATTAAAAATCAGTAGTTTTACTACTTTCTATACCAAAATTATTTACCAAAAGATTTTTTATTTTTTAGTTTACGTTATTTTAGTTCACTATTTTTTATTTTGCATCTTTCATACAAATTATATACGTTCTTGTGTTAAGCGTTATTACTATGGAAATTTAGAAATTTTTGCGACTACTGATTACATTCTTATAAAAAGATCATTAAGCATACCAATTTTAATTTATGTACAGAACTCTTAAATGCGTTTTTCCTATTTAATTTTCAGTTATTTTTTGCTAACAGACAAAAATAAACATATTTGTTTAAAGTTTTTTCATGACACCCATTTTAAGTTAGACTGAAAAATATTAGACTAAACTAAGTCAATTTTATTCTAGGTTTTATCCTGTGTGTTAGCAAAAAATAGAAAACATGATCAGCAAATAAGAGTTTCCAAGAGATCATTAGGAAAACTTCTTTTTTTTACTTTAATCGTTTCCTTAAATAAATACATATCACATTTGAACACATTCTTCAATATATTTTGTATCTTAAAATAAAATAAAATAAAAATATCTTAAAAAACTTCGGAGTGATAAAAATAAACGGTAAATTATTATATTGTTCCCAAAATGCTTTTTTGTTCCCATTTTTATCACGAAACTAAAAATAGCCATTTAAAACCTGGAATTTTAATTTACTTTTAATGGTTATATTGTAACTGAAATGTATTTTTGTATTTTTTAATTGTAATTGAACTGTATTTTTTATTCAAAGCCTCGTATGTAACTTATCGGTATGAGTTAGCAGCTAGCAAAACTAAATGGAGTATTTTACTTTACTTAGGTACTATTATCGATAAATCTAAGAAAAATATCCTTCAAGACCTCTCTGTCGTGTATCCAACTATTTATTTGTGACAAAAAATATATCAATGTCGTTCTTGGCAGTATATGTGAGAATAACAAAGCATGTTGTAATTATTGTGTACTTAACAAAATCAACACTAATATATTAAAAAAAAACTGCACTCAATGACGAATTTCAATTCGTTCCTCAAAAAAACCAATGTGTTCAAATACAAACTAATTTAAAATTACACTAACTTATCCAATTTTGATCATCCATTTTGTAAAATTTACATTACAAATTGATGCCAATGCATCTATTCATCATTCAAAAATAATGAACGTGATTTACTAATTGTTTTACGAGCCGACATGACAGAGCTTATCAATCAACCTTAATTAACTTATATACAATTAATGATAATAACTATGAAAATATACCATCTCATAAAATCTCCATTGATTAACTTGGCACTCACCATGCGTGGTCTAACTCTAAAATATTTATTAATATAAACATTTCCATTACACACGAAAATAAAAAAATGAGATCAATCGATAATAATTTTTAGGCTGCTCTCTTTGGAACAATTTATCGGAAAACGGACTTTATTTCTTGTTTTAAATAAAATCTATTTTTCTATAACATCGCTGGTCCATTCTTCTGAATAATATATAAAAATTCTTATCGTATTTATTACTTATATTAATGAGATATTTATGGATAGATACATCGAAAGCGGAATGTTATTTAATAATGTTCTTTAGGCATATACTACAACAGCATATTTTATTAAATTGACATATTTTTGTGCAAATTGTGCTAGCTTCAAATATTCATAATAACCTACAAAGCTTGAGAGAAATCATTTGAAGTTTTTTTTTATAATTTATCATAAAAGTGTTAGTTTTTCATTGTGTTACAAAAATATTTTTGATTAAAATAATAATACATAATAGTAGCCATTTCAGTGCCATTATATTAAAGCAGCATTTTTGCTATGGACCAAACATTTTATTTATAAAATCACTACGTATATTATACATGTGTGCGTTCGACAGACGATACACAAACACACAACTTTATATTTTAAAGCCGTGTATTATTACGTCTAATAATAATACAAAATTGGGATTATTTTAATAATCCGTATAAAATGTACAAATTGCAAAAAGCGTAGCGCAGAGAATAACATTCAAATTTATTCGTCGTACGCTTAATTATATGAAAAGACAATGTATTATTAAAATACACGATATCCATAATTTTACAAAACATAAACATAAATTACAATTTTGAAAATAAAATTAAAACATTATTTTCAACATCAGAATTTTAGAAAAAGCTGACCCAAAATAATTTTAATAATACTTGAATATAGAATAATACACAAAATCACATATTTTAATAATACATTGCCTATATAAAAATCCCTTCACAACACCTCTTCTGTAATAAGTTCACCGTTTATTGGAGAACAGCTTCCACCCTAGCATGAAGAGTACAGCTGTGCAGATAGACCCGGAGAGCTTGTCAGGAATTATAGAAGAGAATATAGATCCTTCTGGCTCCTTCTCTTCAGCTTTTGGGGCGTCCGTCTGTAATAAGAGAAATTTAACGTTATTTAATGTCTATTATGCTTGTATATTAATTAATAGAAATATGTTGTTGGCTTTAGCCCAGAGTTTTGAATGGGTACACGTAGCCTATGCTACGAAGTGACTATTCACTTCAATAATTGAACAATTTGTAACAAAGGTTTTATTTATTTTTTTCTATAATTAAGGTTTAGTAAGAACACTTCTATCGAGAAGGATAGAAAACTAATGTGTAACAAAAATTAATTCTATGGTTTTAGAATATGACCTTGAGCTTGGAAATTCATCCAGACACTAGTTCTACTTGCTACAAAATGCCTCTAGGTGTCGATTAGTAAATCTAGAGCCATTTTGTAGCCACATTATTAAAAAAAGAGAAAAAGAAAAACAGCATACTACTAGCGACCCTAAACAATAAACTTAGCGTGTCCATAAAGATCGCAAACACTGAAAGCCATAAGAAATTCTGAGTAAACCTAAAGTGGGAGCACTTTTTATAGATATTAATAAAACAATACCATCATAAACTTTACTACGAGACTCTTAGCTTATACGACACGACCGCGATACGATCGCGGCATTAGAATTATTTTATCCATTTATTATAGCAAATTTTATCTAAATTCGTTACATAACTAATTCTGTCTTCTGGAAACGTCTAAACGTTTCCTAATAATTAGAGTTTTATTAGCTGTACAACGATCAAATTACTTCGATCCTTACTAATATTATAAATTGGAAACTGAGTTTGTTTGTTTGTTCCGCTTTCACGCCGTAACTACTAAACCGATTGCTTTGAATTTTTGCAGACGTAAAGTTAGAAGTCCGAATTAAATAATAGGGTTCTTTTTGTCCCGGAAAAATTTGATATTCCCGAGGGAAAACAAAAGTATTGGTATAGATGGCGCTGTGTGTATTGGTATATGTCACATGGGCTACTTTTTATCCTTTTGTGACGCGAGCGAAGCCGCGGGTAAAAGCTAGTGTTTTATAAATTGCAGGAATTCTGGTCAATTCTTCTAACTATTGTAATTTTTAATGGATAGGAGTTAAGATGTAATTGCTTAGTAATCTGGATAAGAATTACTATTATGAAATTTATATTGTACTAATAGGTTTTATTACATTCAATTTATAATAGGTAGTTGCAATAATAAACACTGGACCACATTCATTACCCCAATACCACGTATTTATTAAACGTACTTTATTGGTATCAAAAACAAATATAAACAAGAAATATCACTTACTAAATATTATCTATGTTAAACCCATAGAAAAATACAATACACATATCAATGGCGATGAACTATACATACTACACATAACATATAAATCGGGTACTATAAACGACTGAAAGGTAATTCAAGTGAGTGATATACTCCTCTATTTTATTGTTAGGATAATTTGAATGGTATTTTTATTAGAGGGTAGAAGCGATGCACGTTATGACAGAATTAAATCGTGTGCTTATCTTTGGCAATATTGTGCATTGAACAGTTATGACGAATGGGAATGTTATTGATCATGTTCCATCTAGAATCTAATATTATAAATGGCAAAGGGAGGTTTGTTCAAACAATTTCAAGTCTAAATATGTATCTTTAGAGATTTGTTTTAAGCGTTCGACTTGTGAAATATGTATTACCTATGAATAAAATTAGTTTTAATGTTGTCAATGTAAAAGCTACTTAATGGGCTAAAATTAAAATCACCAAGTACTGAATTTAGAAAGGGCATAACCCTTTGTGATAATAAGTTTATTCTTAAATCATTAGATTTACGGAGGTAGACCACAGGGTATTATTTTGGGTCCACTTTTACGATTCATATTTTTTAAATTGTTTTACGTACAAATTGATTCGACATGTCATAAAAACTTAAGATTTCTATACAAATTAATAATTCTATTTGGTTAACAGCTTAACTATAAATCCCTCAAAGGCTAGCAAAATATAATTTATGGTATTACATTGGATTTTCAGTTCTAATCAGATCCTCTGAGCAAATGTAGGATGCTTTATTCCTCTAATTCAAAGAGATTACCAACCACAGGTAAACACACCCCATGGCATATAAAATTAGAAAAATAAAGTCCTTACAATACATTTATACGAAACGTTAGCAAGAATCTGTATAATTTTATTATACCTAATTTTCCTTCACCAAATTGAATACGGGACCAACAAATTGCTTTCATTATTACGAGACAGAGAAAAAGAGAAGCAAATATCAATTTCGGAAGGATAAAAAAGGACAGCAATACATCCACCTGATAATCTAGCGACAAAGCATCAATCGCATGGAATCATTTGAATTTGCATACATTTTAAGATGTAAATAAAAAAATAAATTGGGATAGCGGGAAATGGTAGCCGCACCCTTAACATTTGGTATGCAAGTGATTTTGATCCGTATCTTTTAATGTACAGAGTTCAATATCATGAATTAATAAATAAAGAATTTAATATATTCAAAGCAAATTGTGGCTTATTTATTAGATCTTAGATTGATTTTTGGATAGCAAAGGATGCTTGTTGTTGAGGTAAAAAGGTATTATTTGTGGAACTATTTCCTGTGTTTGATAAAGCAAATATTATTGTACGGTTTTCAGAAGGGTTTTCTAATGGTATTGATGATATTGTGCAAATATTTGTCAATCTCTTTTAGTCTTTCTTTGATGGTACCTGTAGCAGTCTTGGTATTTACTTGTGAATGTTCAAATATTTCAATAGTTTGTCGTGTAATGTTGTCTAAAGTGAATCGTAGCTTATTTTACTGATGCTGTTTAATATATGACCTCATACTTATATTTAATATCAGTAGTAGGTAATTGAGTCTCATGTATAACACCTCACACTTAAGGCTTCTGGCGTTCAAAAATGCTAAATTGAATATATCAGACCATCTTTCTAATTTACCAACCAACATAATACTAGTCGCATTCATTTCCAATACAGACGACATTAACAAACACAAAACCAATCTGTCTTTTAATAAACTGGAACTCAATATAATCCTCTATACCTATATAAAAACACAAATAACAATCATATTACAACTTCCGACTCGCGAAGCGTAATAATAAAGTAGAAAAAAAGCCTTTTGAAGATGAACAATGCAATGGTTCAACATCTCACGACAAATCGGTTCAAAGGGATTCGAGCATATAATTTTCACTCGATACCGATCCTGCTACTCAAAAAAACCTTTTACTTACAAGCAAAATCCAACTTTATCCCAGTCGTTTAATGTTCAGAACCAAATAAAGAAATCGGTGATATCCTCACGGATATCGATAATGCTACTGGAATTACGCTTCCCTCGAATAAACGAATTTCATTTTTAAGTTTGTAGCAACAGAATTCAATTTGGAATGGAGAGCTTTTTGTAATCCATCAGGTTATTTACAATGTCGCATAAGAAAAGAGACCGTGAAAGGAGTTTCGAAATGAATTTTTATTTAATTTTTCTTTTTTTGTTTACTCAAAGGCTGCGTTGCTCATTGATGTTTGCAAATTGGAAAGGGTATGTCTAATATGGTTTTAGATTTTAATATTGATGAATGGATTTGCGATACTTTATTATCTACCTGTCTTGGTAGGTGGAAACAAAATATGTTGAAATATGTCACCAAGCAGACTGTATTTGAAAGGGGTCAGAATACATTTTGATTTGATGTATAATTGTCTACCTAACTGGAGATAACAATATCGGGATTCATATATAATGAGAGTTTAAAATAGATAGGTAACTAGGTATTTTATTTCACATCGTTAGGTGAATAATATTCCTTTTTCGATGCGAGAAGCAGAAGTTTGACCATCACCAACATGAATTTTGCAAACAACTCTTGCCAATTATTTATCAATAAGTAGAACCAGAATAGTAAGCCTGATGAACAAGAAACAATAGTTAAATTTGCCAAGTTTCCGATAACTACAGACTAGGTAATACATTCTCCAAACCGTTCAGATATTCAACTGAGCACCAACTTCGAAACTCATAAAGCTAACCGTTTGACTTTTAAAACTATAATCTTATGGTGCTAAGATCATTTTATCGATATGAAAACTTTTATTGGAAAACTTAGCTATTTGATTGTGTTCTTACATTGTTGATGTTTATATTGTGAGACTATGAAATAAAGGAATGAAAAGAGATATAACATTTGTATTGTCTTTCTTAGATTTTATAGTATCACTGATATTATTGTGTGTCTTATTATCAAGATAATTGCGACTGTGAAGCAAGGACATTTAGGTTTGATTTTCATTATCAACAGCATCATCATTAACATCGTCATTAGTCGAAAGATGTGCACTACTGAATGGAGACTCTCTTTTAAGATTACCATTATCTTCAAGCCTACTCACAAACTCAGGGAATGTAATAAGATTACTAAAATTTTAGTTGAAGCTACTACTTGTCCTATCGTAACTTGAGGTAGTAATTTGATATCAACCTCCTTATAAAGAGTTCTTCTTCTTTTGCTTCTTTATTTTAACCCGTTGTAAGCCGCACGCCGAACGTTAATCTACGCGAGGCACGATGTATTTTCTATTGTGTCTTATATACCGGCAGTCAATCGGTTAATCACTTATTTACTTATTCATATGACCGGAGACAGTAAGTGCTTCTTATTTGCCTGTAGGCTCACTCTTCTTTTTAACATAACTGCCGAGTCCCCAAGCGAACCCCAGACTTTTGTTATTGTATAGTCTTCCGAGCATATCAGCTATTGGTAATATGGCACTTTCCTCTTAACCAAAGTGTACGATAAATCGTACATTTAAACAGCATTTTAACTGAAACAACGTTGCAGAGAATCACAGAACTACGTATTAAACAACATTGTATTCTGAATCGTACATCGCCTTTGAATCGCTACTAAAGTATAATGTCAATCGTCTAGTACCTCATTTTAGCCACGTCATTGAAAATTTTATTGTTCCCGTGGAGAATTTAATGCGATTGATAGATTCAGCTGATATAGAGCT